TTTCACTAGCAAACAGTTAACAGTTTTTTTTAACAGAAAACTGTTAAACAGAGCATCTACTGCGTGAGAATGAGAGGTAATCGATCTACTTTCACTTATGCTCTCGTGGATAGGGAAACCTTTATGCACAGACATCAATTAATATATAAATAATTAATTGTGTTTGTTAAGCGCAAATATTTGTTTCAAAACAATTTCTAAATTCAGTTCTAATTTCCAGCAAACGAATAAGTAAACAATATTAGCGAAGTGTACCCAAAAACCTGAGTTATATCCTAAAACACATGCTGTGCCCCATATGGTCTAAAACCTGACAGGCAGGGGAATCTAAGCTTGTTTTTAATAAAACAAATATAAATGTGGATATAATAAATAATACTGCTAATAATAATAACATTATACAAAAGCAAATTGTTATGAATGAACTGAAAAAGCCTCCCGAGATGAAGAAGACATAAAAGCAGTGGTTTTTCATATTTATGTAGGCTAGAAAGTAATATGTTTTATTATATTTTAATCCTTTTTATTTATATCCTATATCTATTCATATTATATCCTATATATATCCTTAATATTTAATTTTTATATATGTGAAGATATTTGCCTATTGCTCTTTTGTGCGTATTAAGCATTGTGTAAGCGAGGCGCAACTCTGTGCTGGAGTTTAGGCCGGGTTTGTTTTGGTCTAATGAAAAATATATTATAGTTTCTCAAAATAGCAACGGGCCAGCAGTACGCCTCAGAACGCCTTCCTTTTTAGACCAGAACGCCTATGGGCGCACATCTGAGCGCTAATCCATTTGCTATTTAAACAGCATAGCGCAACACCTCAAATCGACTCTTGCGCCAAGCTGAAACTAGCAAAACACTATTGCGCCGCGCCTTGCACCACACTGCGCCGCGTGTATGATAGGGCCCTTAAAGCGTTTTGTGAAATTGTAATGTTATTGAATTATTTAAATTCCTATTTTAGCTTCAGAAAATGTAAAAAATAGACTTATTGTGTTTATAACACTCCAATTGGACTGTAGACATACTATACCTACACACAGTTCTGTTCAAACAGCTTACAAAAGATGATTATATTATTATTATTCATTATAGGTGCCCTTTAAATTATCTTTAATTTAAAATGAATATTTGCTTTTGCACAAAATTAAAACTCTGGAATCTAGAAGTGACTGTAGCGTGATTTGCCTGTCCTTTTAAAAGTGGGAAAAGACAAAACGCATGGATATTACAATTTTATGAGCCATCGTGAAAATAAATAGAATTTAAGATAAATAATTATGCATTTAAGATGTGAGAAAATTACATTTAAAAGGGTTAACGGCCTTAATCCAATGTTGAACTTGGAGTAAACATGCTATCAAAAAGCTTTCTTAGAATACTGTAAAATATATCATCAAGCAAATTTCTCATCTTAGCCTAATTGGTTGGCAAAGTCACCGACCGGTGGGAGAGGTGGCAGTAATGCACCAAAAAGTTTAATGTCGACCACTGTAAAACAGGTAGTAGAAGAAATCGTCATTCTCGCCATCATTGATTGATCATGGATTTATTTTCATCAGCTAGATGCCGGCCTCACAGCTTTGTGAATGTTGGTGCCGTTACTTATTGATCTGCGATCAGTAAATGTAGCTACCAAGCTACTTGACTTAAAAAATAGCTTCGCTACTAAAAAGCTATTTGATTAAGAAAGTAGCGACGCTACTGAGAAATGTAGTTAAGCTAAAAGCGACACAACATGTAGCAATGCTACTGCTATAATCAAGCTACCATAACAGCATCAGCAGCCATCTTTTTTTCTTCTGTCTATTTTGTCATTAACATGAATGATGTCCTGTATTTTCTTGAGAATTTTGATGAAAATAATTATGTTACACTTTACTTTCCCTACAAAAATGTCATTGTTGAGTGCCAGTTGTAGTGTTGCAGCCAATCATGACATAGTACATTCTGAAAAACTAAAAAACAATCTAATCACATCTCCATATCAATTAAGATCCAGTTAGTAAAGGCAAGACACAGAGTGCAAAAATGTATTGCTAAATTAAAAACGAGTAAAAACATGAATGAATATTACAAAGTATGTTGAAAGAAACAGTTCAGCTTCCAATTTTACACGATTCAGGTAATCAGAGAATCAGAGACGGCAAACTATGTCATGCAGCACGTCACATTTAATAGATCATTTAAAGGCGTGTAACCTCTTAACAGTTACATTTGCACAAGTAACAAGTTGCAGGCTGCAGTTGTTTGAATAGCCACTATAGTGTCACTCAGAGTCAGTGTCCCCTATACACAAAGTAAGCAAGTGTATAGGGCTGCCTTTAAAGTGATGCATTGTCACCCTTCGAATGTAACCTCCTAATCAGTTAAATTATGTAAATGTTACGTGACTGTTGGAGGTGCTCAATACTAATAAAGGGACATTGTTCCACAGGTGGCTTCTATACACGCAATCAGAGAAACACAGATGCGTGCTCTGGCTTCTAACACCTTTCCCAAAGTCAAATTTAAGTACTTTTCAGGTACATTTTCAACATTTTCAGGCAGTTTAAAAATGTGCCAATTACGTATTTACACACGTATACATACACACTTCATCATAGATCAGATGTTATATTTTACAGTATTCTAAGAAAGCTTTTTGATAGCATGTTTACTCCAAGTTCAACATTGGATTAAGGCCGTTAACCCTTTTAAATGTAATTTTCTCACATCTTAAATGCATAATTATTTATCTTAAATTCTATTTATTTTCACGATGGCTCATGAAATTGTAATATCCATGCATTTTGTCTTTTACCACTGTTAAAGGACAGGCAAATCACGCTACAGTCACTACTAGATTCCAGAGTTTTAATTTTGTGCAAAAGCAAATATTCATTTTAAATTAAAGAAAATTTAAAGGGCACCTATAATGAAAATTATCTTTTGTAAGCTGTTTGGACTAGGATTAAAATATCTGTTCAGCTCTCTGTGATCATCAATCATCATCAAATGTGATCAAGAATGAGTTTTACAAGTTTAAAACGTTTTTAAAACAGTGCATGTTTGTAAAGAATTAACGCGATTTTACAGTCTTTATCACCACAGCTGCATGTCAGGACAATTATAACAGACGGCGCTTCAATACCGCTTTGTGTACGTTAAATCAGGTTTATTTTTTACATTACAGCAGTGGATATTAACCTGTATCCTGTCACATTTGCCGTGCAACAGTGCAAAGTTAAACACACATGCTATGCGTGCGTGCATAAAGTTTGTAATTGACACTGCATGTGACTCATCTTTCCAACTCCACAACAAATACATCAAATAATCATTGGGAAAGTTCTTACTGTAGTATTTCTCACAAAGTTACACGAGATCGGCTTTCATCATGTCCGTCACTGTGCTATTTATCTGACACACAGAGCTGGAGATTGAGGCACACTCTGACAGGTATGTGGGAATGGTGGGTAGGGAGAACTAGTATTAAAGGCACAGGCAACAAAAACAGCAACATTGTACTCAGAGCAGAAAATTCTTAATACTCTGAGAGACACTCTGAGAAGTATAAAAAATAAACTGATGGGTGTTTTGAGCTAAAACTTTACAGAAACATTATGAAGAGACAAAAGACTTATCTTAAATCTTAAAAAAGGGGTAAAATAGGTGCACTTTAAAAAACAGTTCATTATTATTATTATTAATATTATTACCTATTTAGTAAGACCAACTATTATGAAAGCAATACAATTACATTTTCATGTCAGTTTGTGGCACTTTATCAAAAATCTAGGCACTTCTCAAACCTTGAAACCATTTAAATCATTTTCAAGGATTTCCAGCAGCTGCAAGAATCCGATGTTCTATGTTTGTATTGGTGTGTTTTTGCTCTACTTAAACAAAGTTAGTTATGGCTTAAAGAAACCTAAACCATGAGGAAAGTAACTGAATACTATTATTATAGATTATAAGTGACAATCATCCTATAGTTTGTAAAAAAAAATTATTGTATTATTGACTCACTGTTATTTGTTGACATTGAAACTGCTTTGAAAGAATGTTGTGCTTAGATCGCAAATCTGTGGCTCTTAGGGCGTACTCACACTATGCTATCCGAAGCGTGCCCAGGCCCATTTCCCAGATCGTTTGAGAAGTGTGAGTGCGCTGAATCAGGCTTAGGCACGGTTCACTTGGCCGGCCCTGGCCCGGTTGAAAGAGGTGGGCCTTAGCGCGGTTCACTTGGGCTTTGGCGCGGTACGCTTGTGTGTGAGTGCAAAACATGCCAAAGGCCAAAACTGAAAGCAAGACGTGACTTTTAAGGGACTGTTTGATATGGATTTATTAATCATTCTTACTGTTCAGTGAAGGCAAACTATCATAGATTATTAAATACGCAAACCCCTCACTGCACGATAGCTGCACCTTCAGCAATCTCCTTATTCCTGCAGCATGAGGACTTTATGGTTGTTTATGAGCACCAATAATGGCGGATCTGTTCGGTGAAATATTTGACTGCGTTTCACCGCATCCCAAGCGATAAAACTAAAGAAATTTCCCCTGTGCTGATGCTGAGCAAGAGCGCTTACTGAACAGCGCAGCATCGATGACGTAATCATGCCCAGGCCCGAATGTAGTGAGTGCAGGCGGTCGGGGGAGACAGGAGGGGGACAAGCGTGCTTTGGCCCAGTTCAAGGCAACTGTACATAGTGTGAGTACGGCCTTAGATATTAGGGACTGAATAATAACAACTGAATTTCTAAATTGTACATTTACAGTCCCTTTGATGTTGTTAATCTCATTTTGGAATGCAAATCACTTTCAGTGGCTTACAGAGACAAGTTTAGCACGATGAATTAAGTATGTGTGAATGTAGACACAGTAAAACTGATATGCATTGCACAGAGTGGGATGTGTTTTAGGTACGAAGGGAAATAAAGAGGCTGTGGTACAGTACCAGTTCTCTCATTTTCTCCTTCCTCTCTCCTCTGCTTCTCTCTTGTTAGGTGATCGGGTTTCTCCTCTGGCCCATCAGCTGAATAGGTGGGGCTTGATCAATGGCAGGAAACTGAAGGATCAAATGGTAATATATCAGAATAAGTCTGAGCCAAAGTCTGCCACACACACACACACACACACTCACACACACACTTAAACCTAGACAGAGGCCAATGTGACCACAGAAACTGTAACCTGCAAACGGACACACAGTCAGTAACCTTCATTTGTGCTGTACAAGACCACAAGAAAAGCATCTCTCTTTCAAACACACACGCGCACACACACACGCACACACACGAACGCACGCCCACACGCACACACATGCACACGCACACACACACACATTCTCCTTCACTCGCTTACAAACACCTTAACAAACCACTGTTGCCTGCAGCAATGCAGACTATTATCCTGAATTGTGTTTTCGATAATATCATTGTTTAAATTTATTATACGTAATGTGTGTTTATATGTATCCGTTCATTTTAATTACTTCTCCAACTCGCCCTGAGGATGTGCGTGAAGTCTGATGGGAATTTGCATAATATTCAAATGTGAATTGATGTAAAGCAATAACAGCAGATTATATTGGTGGCTTCAAAGGACTTAATGCAGGACTAATTATCTCCTGAATTACTCTAATTTAGAGGTTTAGTGATTTGGGGATGATAAATTGAATCAGGATATTGCATCACACACACACATCTCAAAATTCATCATTTCATTATTCAAATCTTTGTAATGTTATTATGTATATATTTTAGGCTAGGTCATTTTTATTGGAAAAAACTCTTTAAAAAATAAAGACTCTTTATTTGCATCAATGGTTCACACTAATCACAGAACTTTTTTTTTTCGTACAAAAATGTTCTTTGGATTATAAATGCTCTTCACACTATAAAAAAATGGATCTTTGGGGAACCTGAAATGTATCTACAGTATGTGAAAACCAACACTGTACAGGCCCATAGCCAGGGGGGTTCAAAAGACTGACAAAGGTCCAGAATTTGTCCCATCCATGAGTTCATTTGTCTTATTTTGACTGCTATGCCATCATAAATTGTGAAAATAACTCATCAAAAAAGGCTTTAAGATCGAGTGGAATCCTCTGTTGGGTGTCACTTTCGTGTTACTTCAGCTAATCAGTTTATTCAATGCAAACAATTATTTTTTAAGAGCCCTAACATTCAGCTGTGGAAGAAAACATACAATTTGACCTCAGTAAACTCCTCTTTCCCTACTGTATTGTTTTTAAATAGAGAAAACATCTTGGACCTTAGGCCTACTCCTGAAACAAAAAAATTACAAATAAAAAGGGGTGAAGCACCAAAAGCACACTATATTAAAATGTAATTGAATACTATTTTGGCTATTGTGGTTATGCGTGTATTTTCTAAAAAAAATAATAATAATTACAAGAGAGTCTAGAAAAATTGTGAAGCTCTACATTATTATTATTATTATTATTATTATATGTTTTAATTATTTTTATTCATAAACTGAGGAAAAGTTAAATGTGCTGGCCAGTTTGTTATTTGCCTAATAAATGACAATAGGCTACAGTTTTTTAATTTAAAACTTTAACAGATTCCTATTTTTTCTAATGATATATGATGTTAATTGTCAAATTTTTGTTATTCTACATCTTTAGAAAATATATTTGGTACATCAAAACGTATGGTTACGATGATCATCCAACAAACTAATCCAGCTAAAAATAGCCCTTAAAATGTCACTAAAAATTTAAATCTCATAACTAAATAGAAAAATGAGGCAAATAACTGCAAAAAGGTTCACCTTTTGAGAAAAAATAACAATCCCCTTCACCAGGTTGGCTACTGGTCTGCTGTAAATACTCTGTCGCCTTTGGTAAAACTATCATGTGACAGCAGAAATCACAAATTTTACAGAAAACTGCTATTGTTAGAAAAGCAGTTAGCTGCTGTAAAATATGCTGTATTTTTTACACCCATTTGTAACAGTGTATTTTTGTATCTTTGCCTAGCACCTGTATTTTTTAAGGAAATATATGAAAATCAGCACTGAACAACTGAACTGACTCTGAGATTGTTTTGATTATGCATTTTAGTTATGCCAGCTAGTAAACACACACATAGACAACGAGTGAATGGCAATATCTAACATTATATTACATTATTAAAGTAAATACTTTCCTCTCTGTGCCTTGTTTGGCCATGAAAATCATGAAATCCCTCACTGTTCCAGCTAGTGCTGCAGTTGTGTAGTCATTAATCATATGATTTGACAACAATCATTAAAGCAGATCTGGAAATCGTCTGACTGAATGAGTGAGTTTAGCAGGTTTAGATGCTAACAGTCGATCCACATTTCTCACATTCGCTATAACAGGCCTTCTCTGATTTCGCCTAGTTTATCTTTCAAGAAACGCGAACAATATGTGCAATGTTTAGGCTACAGCGAGAGGCTTATTTATGTCGGTAGAGGCGGGTGTTAAATGGCCAAATAAGCTAAAGCTAAGCACATTACTCTCGGGTGATTGTTTTCATCGGGGCGGATAAACTTAAGATAAAGCATTTATACAGACAGACTGTACCTGTGAGCGGTGTATAGTGATACAGCACACACTATCCTAAGAGAAACCCATTTGTGTGTTCGGTCTCTGCAATATCTATTAGGCAGATGCTTCTGCGATGCAACCCAACACCGGCTTTTAGCCCAAGTGGACACATTATTATGAAGGTAAATCCGTTGCGAAACTCGAGAGCTTGCAAATGTAAATGTGAGCACTTGTGATAATAATATTTGTATGTGTAGGTTGAAATGTACACTTACAGCTCTGATGTGAACAGCTGAAATCCTCGATTTGCACACACACACAACAACCCACACACTTGTGTTTTAAATTGGAAGTTGCAGATTAATAGTTGTGTATTTGTAAAATGTCATTCACAAATACAAAGTGACAGACACACGTGTGCAAGGCAAATTTGATTGCATCTTTGCTCTACAACCACAGGTCGGCACTCACAACCTCTCAGATTGGTCAGTACAACTACAAATCTCCCGCGCTCTGACTTTTGCAACACATCTCCCGCGATCTCTGTAGCAGAACTCATCTGTGCACTCGCAGATGCAGAGGCGTGAGCAGCGCGGGGCGGGGGAGGGGCGGGGCAGGTGTAAAGCTGTTTGATTGGCTGAAGCCTGACCAATGAACAATGCCAGCAGCCAACATGACTGAGGTGCAAAATAATAATTTCCCACGATTATTTCATTAGTTAGGGTTTATTTAAACTCTTTTCTGAAGAGATTCTTGTTAAAAATCATAAATTCTACTGTAATGTACATACCAGTAAAAGAGCAGCAAAGCCAGTTTATTGGCTACAGCCAGCCAATGAGATGGGGTGTTTCTGTTTGTCAGCACACAGGGCAGCTCACGTTGTTGGAGGCCTCGAGCAATCAGAGGGTAAGTTAAGATTTTTTAATAATTATCTATATGTTCAATACTGTTAGCTAAGCTAAGGACTGTGCTGGGTGCTTCTCTTGTTTGTTTCTTATATAAGAAAACAGTTATGAGTTATCTAGGAGCTGCTTTCAATCATGTTATATGGTTCTAAAGATACGATTCAACCCACATGAAATAAGAAGTTGTAATAGCATTTATAGTAAACAATATTACGTTTTTGAACCATACTAACTATAATAAACTGTATTATACTGTATATTTTGCAGTATCTACAACTTTGTTAATGAATGCAACAGCACACTGTAGTATTAACTAGCATGAACTTTAATGAATTGAAGTATATTTACACACACGCACACATTAATAGCAATTAAAAATAACACTAGGCGTTTCAGTTTCTTACAGATCATACCGGTTTTTGTTATTATAACCTGCATCATATCTATCTATCCATCTATCTGTTTACATGTTTGTGTACAGTGTGTCCTTTATGTCACTTTTTTAATTATGAAAGTTACTACCTTTATTTCTCAGTTTCCTGTAAGGATGGAGTGACAGGAGAGATCAGGATGTTTCAAGTCGATGAGGAACTCAGAGAAGCTGCATAGCTTGAAAAGGATGTTATTTATGCTAAAGATGACATGATGATCCAGCTCATCTACAAACACTTCAAAATAATTCAGATCATTCAAGAGGAAGCCGACCATTTATTTTCTCTTTTTACCTGCCAAGATGACTACAGATTTGAACAAAACACACACTCACCCACACACAACTTTTATTTTGATAATTGTTTAATGTAGTATTTTTACACTTTACTGTAAGGCAGGGGTGTCAAACTCAGTTCCTGAAGGGCCGTAACCCTGCACGTTTTTAGTTGCAACCCTGCTTCAAAACACTTAAGTGAAAGTTTCAAACAAACCTGAAGGACTCAATTAGTTTGATCAGGTGTGTTTAATTAGGGTTAGAACTAAACTTTGCAAAGCTGCAGCCCTCCAGGAACTGAGTTTGACACCTGTTCTGTAAGTGAAATGTAATTTGTCAAATAAAATTTACAGTCCAAATAAGTGCAGTGCAAATGTCTAGTTACTTGTATTGAAATATTTCAGGGTTTTTCCTTGTTCGTAATGAGATGGAGGTGGTAAATCCAACTTCATCATTACCCATCAAATGTTATCTCCTCTTTAATCCTTTGCTCAAGCCTATACTAATGGTCAGAAAGCAAGCCATTGTGTAAAGCTGGTTGATGCTCGCTGTAATAGAGAGAGATGATGACTGTTCAGCTTATGTTGCTTAACCCTGCAGATGAGATGCTCAAAGTGGACCCTCTGCTGAGCGATGGACACTGTCTCCCTCACCTAGTTGCTCTTCCTTTGAACACACATATCATGTTGAAGGATGCAAGTTGTGGACCTAAATCAGATGTAATGCATGTAGATGTATAAATTAGAAAGAAATGAAACTGCTTTAAAATGTATTAGGTTTTACATATAAAGTATACTTCAATTCATTAAAGTTCATGCTAGTTAATACTACAGTGTGCTGTTGCATTCATTAACAAAGTTGTAGATACTGCAAAATATACAGTATAATACAGTTTATTATAGTTAGTATGGTTCAAAAACGTAATATTGTTT